TTTCTTTCTTTTTCCCTTTCCTTCCCCCATCCCAGTTTTTTTTCTCTTTTGAACAGTTCCCATTTTACAATACCTTTTGTACATTTTGGATCTTACTCTTTCATCTTCTTCCACAAGGAACACATTACAAAGTTTGTATGTGTGAGTCTGGTTTATTTCACTTGTTAGTGTGGTCTCAAGTTGCATTCATTTACCTATAAAAGTCTCAATTTTATTGTTTATGGCTCAGTAGTACTACTCCATTATATAAAAAAATTATGTCTTTTTTACCCATTCTTGAGTTGATGAGCTTTTTGGTTGTTTCCAAGATCTGTTATAAATTGTCCTGCTATAAGCAATGCACATATGTTGCTGTGGTATAGTGTTTTTAATTCTTCTGAGAAGATACCCAGAAGCAGAATAGCTGGGCCAAATGGTACCTCCAATCTAGTGTTTTTGTTTTTGTTTTTTGGCAGAACCGGGGCTTGAGCTCAGACCCTTGTGTTTGCCAGGGGAGCATTTATTCTACTGAGCCATTTCCCCGGCCCCCAATCTAGTGTTTTGAGCAGTCTCCACACTGATTTCTAAAGTGGTTACACCAGTCTACTCCCACCAACAGTGGAGAAGAGTTCCTTTTTCTCCACAGCCCCATCAGCATTTATTATTGGTTGATTTCTTAATGATAGCCATTCTTTTTGGACTGAGGTGAAATTTTACCATTGTACCTTTTTAGCAGGATAGTGGATAATCTCAGTGAGCTTGTACCTGCTGGCAGAGACTCTAGTCATTAGGCCTGCAGCCATCAGCACACCTTCTGCAGGCCTAAGCCCAGCTGGGAGCCGCTCTGGTCTCTGAGCTCAGTCTAACTCTTCAAGATGACACCTGGGAAGTTGCTGTGTCATATGGGATGACTGAGCCCTTGGCCCTGGCCCTCACCCCCAGCAATTGCAGTTGTTCATATCCAACATTCTATTTCACTACTGTCTCTGTAGAGGTGTCTAGGGTCCCCAGTAGTCACTTGTGTCTGCAAGTTTGAATCTCTTCTCGCACAGTGAATTCCATCTCAGGAAGAGAGTGTTACCAGGTACCTCTTTCTTCTTTGAAGTTTCTCTCTCTCTCTCTCTCTCTCTCTCTCAGCTTTAGATCCTTCATAGATCCAGGGGATGCCCTTTCTTCCTTGTCTTCCTCACGTTGCTATATTCTAGAATCTGGATGGCAATTCTCAGGCTCCTTTGCTGCTTAACCAATCTGCCATCTTTGTGCTCCTCTTAAGGTCTTTTTTATTCATTTATTTTTATATTTGTTTTTTTGCAGAACC